TGCAACCCGGAGGATCCGTGTGTGCATTAAAGGGTGTTTTTGACATCATCTTCCTCAGTCGGACGCCTGCTAAGCAGCCGGGCAATTTGCGATGCTTTGCTTTGCGGTGCAAAAATAATGGAATGTATAAACCCAACGATCTGTACTAAGCAGGTCTTTTTCATTCTTTTTCTCTGTCGAGCCACTTTTTCAAGTACTCAGCTGCCGCTAGGCATTCTTCGAAATTATCCACCTTGGTGAGAAGAAGTAAGATCTTAAGTCTTAAGAAGTGTGTGTGTGTGTGGACGGAAAGGATATTGGATCAGGGTGTGCGTTTGGCCATTGGATGAGGTGCAACTTCTGTTTCACACTGGATGTTTGCTGTCAAGTTGAAATTCTACAAGAAGGGTGTAATCCAAGTACCACTGTGTTCGCATCAACAACATTCAACAACATGGTAACATGTACGTTTGGAACTCGGAAAGCATGAACCCTTTCAGAAAGGTTTTGGGTGCGAAAAGAAAGAACCAGGGAGCGAAAAAGAAGTTCTCTTGGCCCATGGACTTCACTTAATCACATGGTCATCCGATGTTGTGAAGTCGATGGCAACAGACGATGAAACCGATGATGTTAAGTCGTTGTCCAAAAAAGCAACGCCGCTCGAGTCCCATGTGTAGGCCAGCTACTACTAGTGTCCTTCCTCCTAGTAGCGATGCCCTTTGTTCCTAGTAGCGCCCTTGTTCCTAGTAGTAAGGCCAGGAGCTACTAATAGCATCCCTACATATTAATAGGGGGGACCTAAAAAAATGTAAGTTACATTTTCCCTGGGGGGGTATGCAAAGTGAACCTAAAAAATGTAAGCTTACATTTTGCCTGTAAGTCCTAAAAAAATGTTAGCTACATTTGTTGCTTATATCCTAAAAATGTAGCTTACATTTTTTGGTTTGTTAGAATGTGAACTGCATATCCTGCATGACATCTAACCCTCACACTGAATGCACACAAACTATCAAAAACTCGTGTCATGATCTCTAGAACTTTGGGTCCAAGCAAGGCAGGGTCAGAGAACCTACCCCCTCTCCCCATCCCCAGCCAACAGCCCCCCAACCCACAAGAAATGTAAGTTGCTTTGTGATAGGTGTCCTGGGAACCATAGAAATATAAGACCCAGGCCCTAGAAAGTTCAATCATCTACCTTTTTGCATCCTTTGGTTAGCCACTAAACCGAAATCACCACCTTCCCCCCCAAGAATGAAAAAATGTAAGCTGCAGTGGGTTAGGCCATCAGAAATCCATAGAAATACAGTGGAAAGAGATGGAAAGAGGCACTAATTTTTAAGAATTTACCTTTTATTATGCCACCAAGCTGCTGCAAACTAGGACCAAGCAAGGTAGGTTAGGGAACCTACCCCCTCCCCATCCCCAGCCAACAGCCCCCATTTTTGACCAGAAAATGTAAGTTGCTTCGTGATAGGTGTCCTGGTAACCATAGAAATACAAGAGCCAGGCCCCAGAAAGTTCAATCATCTACCTTTTTACACCCTTTGGTATAGCAACTAAACCCAAATCACCACCTTCCCCCCCCCCCAAGAATGAAAAAATGTAAGCTGCAGTGGGTTAGGCCAACAGAAATCCATGGAAATACAGTGGAAAGAGATATGAGCACTTAAGAATTTACCTTTTATTATCTTTTATTATGCCACCAAGCTGCTGCAAACTAGGACCAAGCAAGGCAGGTTTTAGGGAGCCTACCCCCTCCCCATCCCCAGCCAACAGCCCCGCAACCCACCAGAAAATGTAAGTTGCTTTGTGATAGGTGTCCTGGGAACCATAGAAATACAAGAACCAGGTCCCAGAAAGTTCAATCATCTACCTTTTTGCATTCTTTGATATAGCCACCAAATCACCACCTTCCCCCCCCCCCAAGAATGAAAAAATGTAAACTGCAGTGGGTTAGGCCAACAGAAATCCATAGAAATACAGTGGACAGAGATATGAGCACTTAAGAATTTACCTTTTATTATGCCACCAAGCTGCTGCAAACTAGGATGGTCCAAGCAAGGCAGGGTTAGAGAACATTTTGTGGCACCATGAGGTTACAACCCCTAAAGGAAAAAAAGTTGAAGAATGCAAGAGTTGATGGAAAAATGTAGTGTTGGAATTGATTAGACGCCCTGCAATACCTGAAAGCACGACACAATGAACCATGTTATATATTTAATGTTTGTATTAATATGTATTATATAATATCGGTTTGCTGTTTTTTCCGTCTTTCATCATCTCCCACATTCACCGCTCCGCGCCGGTTGGCATCTTGTGCCGTTGAGCCTCTGATTCAGCTAAGCAAACCTCATTCTTTTAGCATTGTTACGGACTGCTTCTTGCATCTTCTTGCTTCTTCTTACCTCATTGATTTTCAAGGGGGGGCAGAAAATGTAACTTAGGACGTGGGACGTGGTAAGTTACATTTTCTCCAGCCCCCCCTAAAATTTCTAACTGACACACACCAGCCAGCACCTCATTTCCTGGACAATTCCCAGGAACATGCACGCAGGGACATAGCCAAACACAGCCAAAATCTGGGGGGGGGGACCATGAATATGGCCTCTGCTTGAATAAGTAGGGCCCAAAACGAGGGGGGGGTCAACATACATTTATGGGGTCCCCCGGAAATTGTAAGTTACATTTGTTTTAGGTCCCCCCCCCCAGAAGTGTACCTAAGAGGGTAGGGATCTAATAGCGTCCTCGCTAATACGTCTCACCAACATCACTGGGTTCACTGAAATCACCTGGGCTACGACGACTTCCGGTACGGCGACATTTGCTGCCATGACGCCTGCTGTGCACCTGGCATGCATGGCATGCAGCTTTCGGATGCTTGTGCAGGGGCTCTGGATTGCCACCAGATCAACCAATCTCATGGTTTGTGGGGATTTGGCTTGGACCCATCCAGGCAGGACTGGTGATCAAACTGTGACTGGTCAAGACTCTTGCAGGCCTTTGGGGCATCCACCAGATCTGGGCAGCAAATAGCCAATCTCTGAGGACGGTGACGAAGTTGTCAATGTTTGCAAATCTGTAGCTTCCTTCGAGAAAGGGATCAGAACTTGGAGAACCGCAAATATACATGCTGCAGCTTAGGGTCAGCTTGCGAATCCATGGATTTCATCTCCACACTTGCAGCTGGGCCTTCGGTGGCCTGCACATGTGCACGGGGGGTCCAACAAATGGTCCACTCCAGGAGGCAGTGAAATCCAAAGAGATCAAAATACCTTAAACAACCTAACCTAATAGCAATGGCCTCCAACCTAGAAGCAATCGTAGCAAAACCAACTCCTGCCTGAGTTTCGGTAGTTTTGACTTCTCTGGCTTCAAGTCTCTCTGGAGACATCTCCGAACGTGCCGGAGACTCGGGGGGCCGGAGACTCAAGCTGCAAAGGCGGAGGCGTCTGCCTTGTCCAGAAACATGTTGCAAGGATGGGGAAACGGGCAGGAGTAGAGACTAGGCTTGTTTGCTGATCATACTGCACGCACTAAACAAGTTTGATCAAGTGTGTCAGACGTGTCGAAAACAAGGGAACCTCAACAAACAGTTTCCAGCAAAGCATATCCTTGCCGCAAGCAATTCACGTCTTGCAAGCATTCTTGACAGTCCCAAATCCATTTCATTAACTAAGCGGCTGCGGCGTGTCTGCTCCTGAATCCACATTTGTAGGTGGAATAGGTGGACCAGGAACTCCATTGAGAACGCTCACTTCGGTCTGAATGCCCGCCAAATAGAGCGTGGCACAGAAACTGACCTTGGGTACTCATCAAACCTGTCCCTGGGTCTGTTCAAGAGGGTCGTGGATGGTCTTGGCATCCCCGAATTCGTTTGGCCTCCGTGAAAAATGAACAGAATGAACACATAGATGAATGTCCACAGATTCCGTGGCTATTGAGCCCATCCGTTCTGGTACTCCTTCCTGCCTTCATCTGCCTTCCATCCCTGGTTTAAGCTGTCAAAGGAACCAGGTAGCATCCCACACTTCGAGCACTGATCGCATCGCACCTCTTCGGCCTTCGTTTTCAGTCCAAAAAAAACACGAAAATAAACACCACAGGTGAAGGAAAATCAACATCAAATCCTGCGGTTCCTGCGCTCAAAACACGGGTCTGCGGTTCCTGCGTCTGCGTCCCTTGCTTCATGCATTCCTGGCCTGCGGCTTTGAGCTGCGCGCCTCGGAGATGTTTCAAGCTGCAGCTTTTTGAATTGCAATGGGTTGCCCGAAGAAAAAAAAGAGCCTACAAGTCTTGTACTTGAGCTGCCTGGGCCAGCAAAAGTTTGAGTTGCCTTTTCCTGCATTTGTCAAATCTTGGAATGGGATTTGCGGGACGTTTCGCTTGTGCGGACCACATCCGCCAAGAGGCGCTCGGTCTTCGGTCTCCTCGATGTCCACCTCGCCTGGACCAACGCGCTCGGCCTTCCGTTTCGACGAACTAAAACGCCAACGGCGAGGTGAGAAGAATCTGAGCGTTCCACCACCCGGCGAAGCATCGCGACCGTTGGGTTGCGAAGCATCGCGACCCATGGCGATCCAGATACATCATCGAAGACTAGGTACTGCATGGCACTGCGTGGTCCAAACACGCATGGAATTTTATCTTTGGAATGTGAAAGTGGTTGATTTCGGAATATTTCAGGTGTTGATAGTGACTCCGCTGTCCGTCTTGCACTGGTGCTCTCTGGTTTCACTATGTTTCGTTGTTTGTTTGTCTTCTTGGGCTTTTGAAAGCGGCATTTGCTTGACTGACTCATGAAATCTAGACGTGGCCACCACTTTGTGTGACCTTGGTCCGATCAACGTGAAGCTCTTCAGCATCATGAACTGCCTTGTTGATACCAACAGACTGACATGGCATGCCATCTGCCGGCAAAACAAGACCCAACGCATCCCAACGCCGATCCCTCGACCGTCTCCGGTGAAGCGATCTGCTACGTGGATCGCACTCGATGCGAAACCGCGAAGGAGGTCTCAGGCCTCAGCGACGAGGTTCTCCAAGAAGTGTGCCTGTCAATTGCACGGAAGGTCTTAGTGTTTTGTGGCCACACTTCTGCCTGAAACGCGCCTGGCGGGGGACCAAATGAAACTACCAGAAGCGTGGCAGAGGTTTTATGATTCTGATTGGAAGGTCTTGTGCCTCATGTTCATCTGTCTGCACAAGGTTCTAAAAATGAATCCAGCCGTGCCTTCACTCTCACGTGTTCCGCCCCCTCCGGATCAACCTGACCAGGCAAGCGACGAGCTGCGGTGAGCTTAACCGCCTTCGTGTCTAAGTCGCTGGTTTCTATCTATTTACGGCCTGCGAGGCCAAAGATTGGAACTCCTCCGATTGGTGCACCTGAAAAAGGGAAAGAATTGCAGTACATCAGTGCATGAGGCATGTGACACCTTGAGGGGGAAAGCATGATTCCAGAACTTGAAGGTTCTTCATGAATGTCCATTAAGGGCGTAAAGCTGTGGCATCTGAACATCGTTTTCCGTTTTCCAAGACGACGGATCAACTGTGCCAAACCGCTGCTGTGCGGACTGCCACACCCAAGGCGCGTGCAAAAGTCACCACCGAGTGGAAGGAGGAAGCAAGAGCATCCAACTCGTCTGTCCTTTGAGGTCTCCGGGGAGGGAGGTCTGAGCACATGCCAAATCCATCTAAAGTGGCACCCCTGGCACTGCCACCTAGCCAACTCCAGAATCTAAACCACATCTTGGGCTTTGTGTTTGATCGTTTTTGTGTGCCATCTACAAGAATGCACTTGCTTGGACCCCAGCGGCACTTCGGTGGCTTGGGCCTCGATGCGAAAAATCACAATGAGATGGATTCGTTGAGTGGTGTCACAGTGATGTCTGTTGTACAATTTGAGTCCATCCAACAGTGATGGATTCCCTGAGATTCCAGCGGTATACTTTGCAATGAGCTGCGCTTGCGTCGTGCCTTCCAGCAGTCGATCCAGCCTGCGAGATCGCAACGAAACGGAAAAACCCGGCTCGGTTTTCCGTGGGAAACACGGTGCAGCCCAAGACGCTGCGAAAAGGTGGAGGACAACAAGGACGTGGCGACTTGGAGGGATCGATCAGCTAAAGTGGCCTCGATCCACAAGGATTCGGGTGTGAAAAACCCTTTCACCATGCTGAAATTGACCTCTGGTTGCATTCTTCCAGCTAGCACGGATCCCTGGATGCAAGGATTAAGGCAGGCTGCTAATACATGTTACTATGGCGATTGCTTGACACTTCACAGTGACTCTCAGCGCCGCGAGGGCGTGAGGCCATGGCTCCATACAGGTCATGCAGTCGGACCACTGCGTTCTGAAAGGCCTGAAACGGCCAGGACGAGGTTGGCATTCCACTGGGAGCTGCAGGAATTCTTGGGTGAAATCATGTGAAATCTCCAAAAACATGTTAGAAGTCAACAGCCTGCAAAGAGAAGAGTCCACGCTTAAGACTGAAGCTCTGATGGTTTCGGGTGCTAAAGGCTAAAGGTAAAATATGCCTTTAGGGTGCTGTGTTTCTTTTGGAATCTGCAGGTCAACGATGTTGCATGTACTGTTCGACCGAAAGTGGTGATGAATCAGAATCTGACAGGAAAGGTAGCTAAACGGCAACAAAAAGACCTGGCAGAGTGGACCCAACAAGAGTCTTGGCAACCCCCTGGCAGAATCCGACTGGAACCCGGGGCAAATTTTGCAATCATTCACAGGGCTGTGTGAAGCCATGTTCATGAACCCATTGGCTTTAACAATTCTTGCCATACCTCTATGCCGCCACTTTTGTATGGTCGACAAACCGTGCCGCTCCCTCCCGCTGCAACCCCTCTTTGTCGGGCAGATCCTTGATATTGTAACCAACGCCGTCGATGTCAAATTCATGCTGATTCCCGTCAGTTCCGTCTTTTGAAGTAGGGTAGTTTTTGTTAAATCTCTACACGGGGATGGGTCAAAACCTGGTCCACCATGACCAAGGTCTCCTGGTGCCATGACTCACCACATCTGAGCACTGCACCAAACATCGTTCTCGGTGGCATCGGACTGCTTGGATTGAAGCCGAAGCCAATCCCAGCCAAACCTGTGGGAGCATTTCACAGTTACTGACCGAATTCTGTGGGAGAATGGTGCGTTCCTCGTGCAGTCATGAGAAGCGCACGGACACGGCACGGACGTGTCGTTCGCGCCTGCATCTCACCCGCCGTGAGGTCCCGGGGCCTCGTTTTGGTCGAGTGGAGCCTTAAGGCCTGAGAGGAAGCGGGGCCAAGCGGGCCAAGCGGGCGCTGTCGTTCTTCGAAACGGATTGGAGAAGCATTAAGGAGTATTGGTCGTAGGCCGCTGTAAGCCTTCTACCCAAGCAACATGTGGGAGATGCTGTCCTTTATCAACACAATGTCCACGAGTTGATATTGCTGATGATCCAATCCTGGAATATAATATTTAATATGTGCGCATACAACCCCGCAAACCTTTGCTGTGCTTGTGTGTCTGTGTGGTGGAGCAGGTTGCGCCAAACGCCCACCCACCTCTTAGCCCCATGCCAAGTGGAGAATCTGATACATGATGCTATCCGTCCTGATTGACCAATCGCATGACATAATGACCCAATGAATGGGTCGGCATGTGGCGCACGCTGTTAAACAAAAAACATAAGTGTTTAAAGTACAAATGCAAATGCCAATATATATATATATATAATTACATATATAAGTTTTCGCACTCCGTGTGCATGTGGGCCTGGCCCAGCAAGTGTCCACCTGTTGCTGAAATTCTGCTTCAGGAGCCTCCCATCCAAGATCAACGCTCAAACATAGAAATAAGATGAAATAAGCCTGCCATAAGAATAGGAACGAGTTCTTCGGCTCCTAAGCTCATCGTGTTTCTGTTCGAAAAAAAGACTCCATCAATTGAAGCAATGCCTTTCTAGACACCCAAGGCCCATAGCAGCAGCATGATGCAACAATGTCCTCCGCCTCTTGTGGCGCTTTCGTCGCTGCAGGAGCAGCTGTCTTTCCCGCTGACACTCCTTGCCTTTGCCACCAAATCTACCAGGAAATCAAGGGAGCGTGTCATGACATGGACATGGGTTGACCCTTGAACAAAATGGACTATGACAAGGCAATGCCTATGCCCACCGACATACCACAAAAGAACCAAGAACTTGAGTGCTGGACTTGCTTCTTCGGACCCTGCGGATACCGGCGGTGAACGGTTCTTTCATGTCCATGTCGTCTGTGCGGTGTTCTCTGCGTTTGGCCCCTGTTGATTTCACAATCAGTGCAACAGACAGGTTGTTCAGGTAGTCCACGTTCTTGCAAGGCGTTCCAATCTCACTGTTCCCCCCAGCTTAAATTGGCCAGCCAGCCGTGTCATGCTGCAGTATGTTGAAGCTATGGCTTCAAGCCTTACCCAAAATCCCTCTGTAATACCACGAAACCAAATTAACAAAATGCACTTTTGACCACACCCATACTTGAGCAAAGCAATGACAGGCAGGACGTGTAGCCTGACTACCAAAAGCACTGCAGAACTGCCGATGTTAATACTAGAAGCTGTTTGTAGCTACATATCCCTGATAAGTGTTTCTGCTGTACCATGGCCTATTTACTGCAAAAGGGAGGTTCAGTTGATGAGGCACAGGATAGAATCCTCTTGCTCTGCCTTTTACGCGGTGGTTCTGGGTCGGTCCGCGTTGACGGCTTGCCTCATGACAAAACAAAAGAGATTCCAAGAAAATGTCTTGTACATTCAAACAATAATCCGCTGAAAGTACAATCATGCACAAGGAGCCGCTTCGTCCACATTGCTGGTCTGGCATGTCGCTAGGTCGCTAGGTCACCGGGCTCTCCTCGCTCTGAGAAGCCTTGGAGTTTGGGCGTCTTTTCTCACGTTGTACGGAAAGGCCCATTTCAGTTCTCCTTTTCTTGTGGAAGCAGACTTCTCCACATAAAGGTAAGTCAGTGCTACTGCGTGCTGCTGTACCAGTACTGTCTGCGTCAATGCAACTAGATATCTCTGCTACATGAAGCAGTTGCAAGCACTTCTCCAGGCTCTTTCAAGCAAGCTGCTATCTGTGGTGGTAAGGCTGGCAGTGGAAGGCAAAAGAAATCTGCCACATCGAAGGAGTCATCATGCACTGGTCGTGGTACCTTTGCCAAGATCCGCTGCTATGAAGTTGCCGGAAGCAAAACGATGGCAACAAGTTGCTGAGGTCCTAAGACTGCTACGAATCCAAAGCTGCTGCAGATCTCCTGCAGTGAACTGCAAGCTACCGGTACGTGGTCAGGGCTGCATTTTCATCCGCACTCCCTGAATCCCAGATTCAATGTTGCAGTCCTTCAAGCCCTGTAGTCGTCTCCGTTTCACAGGCAGGGAGGATTCTTGATCTTGTAGGGACTCCAATACCGACCTGGAGAACACAACATGTCCAAGTTTTGACTCTACTTGAAGAGCAAAGGAATTTGACCAGAGTTATTACAACAAGCTTATTATATAGCTGGTTCTGCAGCATCTATTCCTCTTTCAGACTGCTTGCTAACGATCACTGAGTCTTAGATTCTAGGCTGGCGACCCTGCTTCTGAAGCCAAATCCTCTGCGGCCTGGCCCCACACTACAAAAGTTGGAGAGCAAGAAACCAATGAAAGAAAATAAAATTGCACCCCGTTTGCTCAAACCATGATAAACCCACTTGAGCCGGTACAGTACCAACCCCAGTACTGGTGAGGTCACCTCAAAACAAAAAAACAAATACCACACAAGTCTACACAAGTCCATGAGCCTCATGGAGGCCAGAACCTTGAGGAGCTGCCAAACAGAACCTCATCAAACAAACAGCGTCGTTGTTTGCTTCTTCGAATCAGAAAGTCTCTTCGAGGTTTTTCTTGGATTCATGGAGATTCATTGACTCTAACAAACGACTGCGACCTTCCAAGAGTCTGTTGACCGATCAAGATTCTTCCAAGCGACGCATCTGGCAGGAGCTGCTGCCCGACCATGCGGACCAGGCTGGAAAGCATTGATGGCCTCAATGTGTGCAGGAGTAAGTCCGATGAGCAATATAATATAATTAAGGTAGTAAATATTGTACTATACATGTAGACGAAGGATGACGAAGGTACTTGCCAGTACTGAAAGTTGCTCTTTTCCCCTCTCATCAATATTGTCTTGGGAGCTTGACAAAGCAGCTTGGACCGACTGCTGATCATCCCAGAATTCCTCGCCTCAGGAGCTCGAGCTGTGAAAACTTGCAAAAGCATCTGGCGACTCACGTGACAAGCAACGACTCGGTTCGGAACTGTCATTCATTCGCACAGGTTGCTTAGCCTCAGCAAATCAGCTGAGTTGATGGAGACCTTTCCGAGATCTCACTGAGACTTGCTGTTTCATTGCACTCTGCAGCCACAAGAAAGGATGCAAAGACCAAATTAAGCACACAAAAGGAAGAAAATGAACTTGTCAAGGGACATTATGCCACTGTCTTTTCAGACAAGCTCTGGTGCTGTTCTTCTTAAGACTGAAGAAACACTCTGGATGTCAATGCGAAGGATGAAGAACAATCAACGAGGGATGCCAAATGCCAAATCATCACACGTGCTCTAAAATGATAAAGTGGGTCAACGTGCTGCACTCGTGGAACGTAGAACTTCTTCCGCAACACTGAGTCCGCTGGCTGACTGTTGGGAACTCATCTCGACAGCGCTCAAAGTGAAGTAAGCCACTGGAATGACTTTGCCTCGGGAGGCCCCTGTTCTTTTCCGATGTTGTCTCACCGTCGCATTCAATGTCTGCTACTTCTTGTCAGAGCCATTGAATCTGGTAAAGGTTCATTCCCGCCTGACTGAACATTCTCCTGCCCTCCTTCCACTGATGAGCGAGACAGCACCGTGTCTATGAGCCTGAGCACCGACACGGGTTTGCCTGTTAGGTTTAGCGTCGACCTTCGAGGTGAAACGCTTCAACGCTTTTCGCTCCGGCGAAACCGCTGGAGCTCGTCCTGCTCGTTGGGGGGCCCGGCTCTTGCAAGTTATCATCAAATCGCTTTATAGCCCTGCTGAGCTGCCGGTGACTTCTGGAAACAGAGTCCTTGAACAGGGCTCGAATGACTCACATCTACAGGAGGAAGAGCGTTTTGATAGATCCAATGGATTTTCCGACTTGGTCACTCACCTAAAATAGCTGGGAACTGGGAACCTCCCTGCTTGAGTGGCATGGGCTCAAACACTGCAAAGCAGTTTGTTCTTTTGATCAATCCGGCCTTGAGGGCATGGTAGTTGGACAAATCCCAGCGAACGATCTTCACCAAATCCTGACAATGCCAACTGACATGGCCTTTCAATGGTCACTCTACACAAGAACAGGTTGTCCTGAACCTCCTT